GGCTGATGGTTGAGCTGAGAGGCGACCTGATAGTTCTGCTTCGAAGGCCGATTTGCAACCATTGCTGATACTGCGTTGTGGCATCAGTTCTGCGGTTGTTTACTAGGCGTGGGGAGTATCTCGCTCGTAGCAGAGCATGGTCCGTGTCTACGGGTGTTGACCAGTAGNNGTGAGGATGAAGTTGATCTGCAGAACTCAGGAAGATGATTCAAGTAGGGTCTTGTATACGTGTTTCGGAGACACAGTATACATCTAAATGGTAGGTCTCAAGGGTTCTGGTTAAGGTAGTTTTTTGACCGATGTGGTAGAGTGTGCGAATATTGAGCGCGGCTAAGAGAAAAGGAGATTTTGGTTTATAAAATCTGATAGCTTCTGAGTGGTTGACCTCATTAGTTGAACGCGGAGCGACGTCCCATGCACGATCACAAACAGGATGCACCTCCTAAGGTTAAGGAGTGCGAAGAGGAAGTGTACAGATGAAAAAGAGAGTTATCCAAATGGGTACCTAAAACTTTGGTGCACGGTATACTTCACGGTAGCCCACGCCAGTGTAGGGGTTTTTCTTAGGGAATCCTAACCGGAGCGTTTGATCCAGAAGTTTGACCCCCAAGGCAGCGGGATTTTGTTGGGTTTTCTTTGGGAACCCTAAACGGAGCCTTTGACTCAAAAAGAAAATTTACCTGCTTTGCGCTGAGCAAACTGGTAAAATTTAGTGCGCAAGAAAATAATGGACTGCTCCCTGTTTCCTAAAGATTGTCGTAACATTCCTAGATTCAGACAAGTGTGAAACAAAAATAACAATGGTGTTCTGCACAGAATCACAGCATTATAAAACCCGATTGCTTTTTGTTGTCACCAGATTGAATTATAACACTGTTGCTCTGACTTAGCGATATCCTCGTTCTATCCGTGGTATTTGAGCTTCGTTTAATTATTCAACCTTCGAATCGCGACATTGCAGTCGTCACTGCCACCAAGTAAAAATATTGTTCTTGCTAAATGGCAAAAAATGTTAAACACCAAATCTGACTGTATGTCTGATAGCTGGTTTTTCCATTTGGAGTAACGAATTTCTTCGTGTCCTCGCCTGATCTTCTAAACGCTTCGGTCAAGCATTGTACTTCAAACGCACTTCTCATCTTTCGGGAATAGTAGTTGTAGAGATGAAATTCGTTTTGTCCAACCATAGCAACGGGAAGAGACAAACATAGTAAATTTCTTGAAACAGCGAACAGGAGTTGCTTTCAAAGGAACTATCGTCACTAATTCAATCAATCCCATCCAAGTCCAAGGCGGAAGGAAGTAATCCCTCGCCTCGGAAATGAAGGAATCAATGACTTCAGTTTGAAAAGGCCAGTCACACCGACCTTTGTCAAGACATTGTCATGGGAGTTATGTGGCTTTTAAACAGGAGCCAGGTGACCAGCCTGCAACCCACCAAACCCTGGTAGTGCCACTGCTGTTTTTTCGAGACTGCTTATTTGTTGTGGTATGCCACAACTTATTCACAGCGATACCTTCTTTTGTGAAGGTATACCCCTATCCACCCCCCGGGGACGCGCCTGACCGTTTCGTGTATTTTGACCCATATTACGCGTTGATAAATAACCGTTTTTGCTCCATATGCAGCCGCTATAAGGTGAGCGCGCTTGACAGGTTGTTAAGCTAACGACCATTTGCCTCCTGACAAGTGAAATACATCCAAACTCAACCAGAAAACAACGAAGTTCTGAATCAAAAGGCCGGGTTCTATTGTTGTTTGTGATCTGTTTGTTGCATAATCGAGATAGATTGCACATGTTCTCGGTTTGTTGTAAGCACTGAGACCAAAACAATACAGGGTACCTGACGCGATAAACGGAGCAATAATCGGGACCAAGTCCAGTCACAAGAGAGTGAAACCAGTGAATGCACATAATTGTTTGCTTACTCCCTTCTTCCGTCACGTCAAGGCAAGTGAATACTATACAAGTAACGATGCCGACAATCATCCCCAACGCAACATAAGGTCCGTACACTTTCGCAGCTCTTAAACGTTGTTCGATGCGCAGTTTTGTTGAATATTTTAGAGAAAGAGAGACCAGAGAACAACAAAAGGCATGATATTCTCGTTTGATAAAAATGCTTTACCTTGATGTTTATTCATCCGTTTCAATCCGTTACATTCGCACAGTTCAACGACTAATCTGCCATTGTTATGAACTGCTTCTTTCTCAGCGTGAACTGCAAGCCAGATAGATGAAAATCAATCTGTATTTTGTCACAATGAACCCAAGCTTCAAATTAGCCACCTCATTATTTTAATTCAAGGAGTAATTGCCTTGGCCAGATCGACCCGGGTAGTCTTTTCGTTCAACCAATCCGAAGCGGAGAAAATAAACCACAACAGTCTCATTTGCAAATCTATTAGTCACTTCATGAGTTGTAATGAAGTAATAACCCGTACCCACAAAACATCTCCGTACCCGTCTACCCAATCTCAATCAATGCACTGCCGACCCCTGTGATCTCAAATGTTAATCCCTCCGATCTCTCGTATAGTCTTATATTTAAACATAATCAATCTATTAGTTTGAACTTGGTCATATGCATAGATAAGGCAGCATCATAAATTCCAACAGTTTATCAAACTACTGGTTCGGCAATCTGCGTTTTCTCAACGCAGCTACAATGCATAGTTCAATAAAAATTGATTATTCGACACGTCCGCTCTCCTGAACGGTTACAGTTGATTAGCATCTACGGTGAAGTAGATCGTTCGAATGAAGAACGAAGATGATACGCGCGAGAAGTGTTGTGTGCAATGCGCAAACGAAAATCATCCGGGTAAATTACGAACCACGATTCGTCCAATAAGCTCAAATGCATAAAGTAGGCCAGCTTAGCTAGATGATGATTAAATGAGCACCTGCTTCGTATACGATCACACCTTACCAGTTATTTTAGTGTCCGATTGTGCGACAGCCAACGAACGGCACCAGGGAAACAAGAACAAGTCAATTCAACGATTGATTTCTTCCAAAACGGTTGCAAAGTTAGGAAACGCGTCGGTCGAAGAGCATGAGAGAGACCTCATGTAGAAAGTTACAGTTTTGGCAATTGATTGTCACTCGGGAATGATCATGAGATGTTCACCCCGGAACGTGGAAACAAGCAAAACTGGTTCGGAGAACATGGAAGAGAGACTGGGATGGATGGGGGACGGGAGGGGGGGGGTAAGGGTTGGGGAAAATATTTTTTTTGGCCATGGGCTTTCATGTGGACCCCGGCGATAGGTGGACACAGAGAACGTCAGGATGAATAGAATCTAAAGCCAAGAACGACGAATTATTATTGTACGGGCGCAATCCTGTGGTGGTGAGTGTTGCGGTTTGTACGGAAATGACAGCAACGTCGGAACGACAACTTTTTTGGGTGACGACGAGGAGATTCTACACTGATCGAACGTGTTGCGTTGTTATTTACACAAACACGACGAACCGGTGCATGGATGTTTGGATTAAAAAGCTCATTGGTAGTGATAGAGATAACGAGAGAGAAAGAGAGAGATAGACGACCGACGGATGTTGCTGGTTTCAAGCACTGGCTTCAGCCACGGGTGCCACATGCGCGGAATCCAGAACCTTCTCCCGTTCGTTTTGCACAGGCACTTCGGAAGCTGCAGTTTCAGAAGCTTCTGCTTCTCCGGTGCCGGAACCACGGCGCGGTTTTGCAGTGTTATTGTTCATTGGACGTGGATTTCGTGCCCGGCGTCCAAAACGACGAACCCGGGCTCCAGGACCCCATTGACCAGGTCGCCCTGGACCAGCCATACCACCACCACCGGCACTATTTGCTCCCTGAGGTCCACGTCGTGCACCACCAACATCGGAAACATGTTCTCCTGCGTCCGCACTCCGACTGTTCGATGCTCCCGGTGCTGAGGCTGCTGCTGGTGGTCCATTACCGGAGAAATTTCCCACACGTTGTCTACGCCGACCACGCAATCGACTCGGACCACCGGAACCTTCCGGGCGGTGTGCACTCAACGAAGCACTCTTACGTCCACCACTGGCATTGTCAGCGGACTCGCCGGCTTCATCCGAACGTCCGTGAGGTGAACCAGTACCACGTGGTAGATTACGTGCACCAACTCGATCACCTAGACTCGGATAGATTTCCGAACGGAGTGTATGCTGATCCTCGAGTTTCAAACCCTGTATCACAGCATCGATTCGGGCACGAAAACTGACCAACGTTTCCAGGGGAATACCGATCACATTTCTGTGCAGATCAGTTACCTGGGAAATGTGCAGCCGTTTACCCCACCGGGTATCGCGTAAATCAAAGAAAAATCGACGGCCACCGGAAGCACTGTAGAGTGAACGAACCTCGGGGACTGGATTCACCGACAGATAACGAGTGACCACATCCGCTACGTGGGTGGAGAGGGGGGGGAGTGGAATCAATGGCAACGTGAAATAAAGTAATATGAAAACAGATGTCTCGAAATAAAACATTGCGAATAATGAGTTATGACCAGTTTTCTTTTCAGCTCGAATTTTCTGTCAATGATATCGTTGCTCAGAGTCTATCCTTTCATTGTCAGTGTGCATGTACGGAAATATGCATATCAAATGGAAATTCAGAAAATGCAGGCTGGCACGGAACCCCAACAAGTTCACTGGAACGTTCAAATTTGAACGGTGAAAGCCTTTTTGAAAGCGACTAAAAGTGTATGATAATTCGGTGAAGTTGGAATAAAATGCAATCGAATAAAATGTGGTTATTCTCTTTCTCTCTCTTTCTATCAACGGAACGGATGGGAATAATAAAGCATCCGGTAATTGTCTAAGCAGAGGAACACAATGCAAAGCAAATCACGCTGTGCCCCGAGAATATTCGATCACGATCACGACTACACTGCGGGAAATCGTGAGGTGAACTTCACGAATTCTGACCGAACTCTCAAATGATACCTGATGCACGGAAGTCTAAAAACAGATTCGGGTTTTTTTTTCAATCAAATGTGCTAGTTCAGAAGAACAGTTTTAACCGAAAAGCAGTGGAACCAAGTGAAGGCCCATCTGCTTCGATCAATTATGTTTTGAACACTCCTGCGGATTTAGACGCTAATTCGACTGGAACTGCAATCTGGAGCTTGGACACCGTCTGACACCTATGTCCCTTGATCTTCCACAGACCTTAACGTTGGTCTGATACGGGTCACTGTTTTGTTGAATAGAGAAGAACAAATCAATACGGTTCCCCTTCGGGGATGGAGATGAACCACTTTACTGCGTACATCCATCGAGGAAAAAAATCAATGTGTGATAGTGATGCAATCATGCAACGGTAAAGTGACTCGCTGTTCACGGAAACGGAGTGTTCAAGCACATACACGTGGCGAAAACAACAAAGACTCCCAATTTGGGTAGGGATGGTGATTTCGAACCTCACGGTCCGTAAAGAACAATAAAATAAACCACTTGAATTGTACCAACGAAAACACTTACGCCAACAAATCATTTCCTAGATCGATCTCTTTTTTTATCACACATCTTAGTGTGATGAATAACAGACGGGGGAAAGCCCCATAGTCACGAGATCTTGCTGTTCGGTGATGGAAACCGGTGACCCAAGCCCCCTCGGGGCTTGAAGTGGCTAAGATTTGGCCTTGAACCAGACGATAACAAAGCTGCTGATGGAGTTGCTGATAAAGTCAGCTTTAATTGTCTAAAGAGTCCCACGGAGCACATTTTCAAATAGAACAAGGAGTGGCGAACAAGCTCGTTTTCAGTGATTCGAAGTCATGCCAAATACATCACAATAAATATTCCGCCGTTTATATATAAATCAGTATTCAATCGTAAAAACGTAAACAAATGTTTCGGGAAAGGGGAAATAACCTCATGGGTTATCTGGGGCTAAGTTCATCTTGGGATCGGATATGGAATTCTCAATGCTCGCATGATTGTTAGGTCATCCGATCGTTGGGACCACTCAGAATATGGGGTGTATAGGGGGTGGTCCAGGGGAGCTTAAGCGCCTGCACAAATTGTTTTTGGGCACACAAAGGGGGGTGGTGCAACCGAATTCCTACCGC